GCTCCCTTAACCATGTGGCTTAGTAAGTAGGAGAGCAAGGTGTAGCAGCAATGCAGAGCTCTCTCTTAGCATTTGGGAGACTGTAGGAAAGACCTTGTGGGAAGGAAAGGGTGAAAAGACTCTTGCTGGTGGGCCATGAGAAGGTGCTATGTGGGTTTGGATTAAGAACGGGAGATCCCGGTGACACAGCTGATGATGCCAGGATGGTGCTGGTGACTCCTTATGGAGTCTTTAATGTATTTGGGGAGGGAAGTTTGGTAACTTGAAACAACAGCAAACCCTTCAGGAGGGGAGTCACTAAGAATCAGATTGTTGGGTTCAGATTCAGTACTGCATGACATTAGAACAGAAGGAATTCAAGGATTCTCTTCTAGAAAAGAAGCCTTGGACAAGCTAGAGCTTTAAAGTGTTTATGATTTGACCAGTCTGAAATGCACATAAAAGAGAAATTTGAGTGAAATACCCTGAAAAGAAATTCAAGGTCTTGAAGTGTGTATGCGTCAGGAAGAAGAATAGACTGACTAGAATAGAGGCATATTTTGGAAAGAAGGGGAACATCTTCAAATTGGTAGAGGTTGAGCAGATGCAGAAAATTTAGATTTGTTAAGTAAAGTTTTTGTGCAGTCAAAAGATATGCCCACACATCTACAGAGATTGGAGTTTTGTAAATGTGATCTATCTCACCATTATTTGAAAAGATAAGGTGACATCTTCTATTTTATGAATGACTCACTCAAGCACCCATCTGTTCTTACTAGCAATCAATAAAGTTCACCTTAAAGTCTTTAGCTATTTCTCTATGCAGTTTTCAAAGAAGCTCTATTTTAATTTTGTTCTTTCCCCAAATAGACCCTGAAGCAAGGACTCAGGTGAAGTTAGTTTATATAGGAATTTGTCTTAGAGAGCAAGAGTCGGAAAATGGATAGGGAAAGATTGGGGCTTGATATGCTATCATCTCCCAAAAGGGTATAGAAGAAAGTAAGGAATTATGTAGTGCAACACTAAGGCTCGATTCTGCCAGGATCTCCCAAGATGGGTATAGAGTCCCTTTCAGGATTGTCAGCTAGAACTCAAGAAGCTAGAGCAGTTACCAGTCCTCTTTCATCACTGCTTAGTGCTGCCCAGCAGGGCTGATGATTGCCCTGTCCTTGTAGGCTGAGTGAGCTACTGGGGAGTCAGAGAAGGCTGTGGGGTAGAAAGTAAACATTACAATGTATACTGTATTCCTAATGTTGGATGATGTATGGGATGAGTCTGAGAGTCCACAGAATTGTCTACTGCAGCTATTGATAAAATTAGAGCTAGGTGTTAGGATGGGACATTGAATCACAAGTGCTCTTACACTACTGAAATGCATATTTGTCCTATATATTTTTTTACTGTGTTACTGAGTCTTCAAGGTTGTGGCTGGCTGCAATGTATTTAAAACACTTCAAATGGGAGGGTTGCAGGGCATGATATTCGGGCCCCACTTTAACAGGTACCAAGGCTGTAATTGATAGCCATCTCCTCCCTCTTCCTCCACACTCTCCAGATTTCCTTCCATAGCACTTTAGCAGAGGTAGCTTGCTTGGTTGATGGGGTGCCCCAGACTCTTCATCAGTGAAGGGTCACAGTTCTAGATCACTTTGCCCTTTTCAGGCTTTGCAGGAACAGCTGGTTTCTATGGGGAGTGGAAATACCCAATATGAATCACTGAAATTGCAGATGTATTCCTCCTCACCCTCCTTGGGTGACAACAACCTGGTGATTCACAGCAATCAGGGTCAATTACCCTTCCAAGTCTAATATGTGCTTTTTTGCTCATTGGACTATTGGCAAAAGTTCAAAGATACCTAGGTCATGGCTGTAGTTTTGCTGGACTCCTTACTGAACCTTCTGGTGAAAGTCTTCATCCACTGGGAACTAGACCTCTAATGCAACAGACGCTAAGTTGTGGGAAAGAAATGACAAATTCTTAAATAGGTTATGGGAGTGACATTGGAAGAGTCTAGTCCACATTCATTTGGACTAGTTTCTAAACTTGTATATTTTAGCTTAGATGATAAAAGTACCCACATACCAGCCATTGGCTTGATAAATATGATAGCTTCCTGCAGAATAACATTCCAATGATTAAGAGTCACCCCTGAGTGGCTTCTTAGCTGAGCCTTTAACAGGCCATTCCATCATTTGTTCTAGATCATCTGCCCTAGGTACCAGGGCATAGGTCACTTTTTAGGTTTGAGGCTGGACCAGCAGGTCCTTTCCTAGTCATGCCTCCACTGTCACACATGTTGTGTGGAAACATGGGCCCTTTGTTCTGTGGAGGTTCAGTCTGGGACATGGGTGGGAGAATAAAATTGAAAATATATTTTTAACAAATGCTTCAATTACCAAAAGGGTAAAGTTTAGGATTCTTGGAAGTAAGAGCTCCCAGGTAAAGTGTAAAGATGTTTTGGAAAGAGGATGTGCTCAGGAAGTGTAATCTGTCACATACACCACACAAAGGCATAAGGTTTACATGTGATATGTGCATGAAGAAATTTTGTAACACTGGAAAACACTACACATGCCCTTGCTTTCTATAGGATTATAACTTGTAGATATTCATCTTCCTTTGTTTCTTATATTCAGACAGAAGGAGCTCTTATTCCCAGAAGAAGACAATGATTTTCTGTGTTCCTGTTTCCCCAACCACTTCTCCCCTCCCCTCTGACACCCGTGCTGTGGTCTGAGGTTTCTGTACGCCTCCCCCTGTCACTCATCTCACTGTGCCTCTGACAGAGCACAGAAATACATCGCTGCATCCTCCAGCTGGGAGTCTGAGATCCTGAGGCCAAAGTATTTGCTTTCTTTCTGGAAGTTCGCAGAGAAGCGATTATTCGTTGCATTTTGTTTCTTAAAAGCTTCTTGGCGGATAATGAGAATCATCTCCCCACTGGGAGGCTGTTTGTACCAGAACAAATAATCACTGCCACTAGTGTCATATGTGCAGGCCAGGGTCACAGTCTCTGTCTCCTGCACAGACATTTCTGGCTGAGGCTGATTGACCTTCTGGGCCACACTGGATCCTGTGGGAAGGAAGACAGAAAGGACTGACTGCACTGGGTGTGACACCAGACAGACAGAGCAGGCAGACTCACAGCTGGTTCCCATCCCCACCTGCATTTCTATTCCTGACCCAAAGCTCAGGCAGAACCTGTCAGCTTTGAGGCTCCCCACAAAGGGGCTCTGTGGGGCATGCAGGTCCTGTGCTGTTAATGTCCTCTTGTTTCCAAGCCCCAGTAGAAAGCATTGTAAACAAAGACTTACACCTTCCTTACCCAGACAGGCAGAGACCAGGGCTGCCCACAGCAAGGCAGCAGGCGTCATGCTGACAGGTCTCCAGCAGAGTGAGGAGTCTGTGCTCTGCTCTGGTCTGGGTGCTTCTCTGTGCTGGTGACAGGAAAGGGTGTCACAGGTGGGAGGGGGACCAAGTCTCAGTGTGGAGTTTTCCCAACACTTTTTGGTCTTTCAGATAATAAGCCCTTGATTACAATTGTAAATGGAAGTAAATAATGTTTTCTGAGTTCTTGTATTCTAGAATAAAAACACAGAGGAAGGGGCTGGCAAATTAATTTCTGATAAGACCTAGTCTTGAGAGGAGTCAAGAACCTGCAATGTGGAGCAGAAGTGGCAGCGTTTCATTTGCAACAATGGCAAACTCTAACTAATCTTTCCTTTCTAAAATAAATATGACATAGCAACTATGGTATATATTAACAATTAACTATGAGTAATAGGAAGACACTTGTCTTATTTATTTATGTTTTCAATTTTTATATTTTTATAATTTCTCCCAATAAAGAATGAAAAAAGGGTTTTATGACAGAAAAGAGCACTGATTAGAGCAGAAGCTGTTCACCTCATGTCCAGTTGAGCCTATTTTCCCACAGACACTTAAAGAAAATAAGTTCTTGTTGGTGCTGCCTCAGGAAATGCTGATGTAACTATTGTAAGAGTTCTCAGCAGCAGTAAATGGCCTCGACTACTCAGTAAGAATTGCTCTCACCTCTCATTTTATTTTGAGAAAATATTGTGAAAAAAAACTTTTTAAAGAAAACACATGTCTCGACAAACAAATATTTCTCTCCCTCTCTCCTCCCCTTCCCCTCTAAAGATAAATAAGTAAATTAATTTAAAAAAGAAAACATACCATGATTCATTTGAAGTTTGCATTTCCAGAGGGATTGACAGATACTCGAATCCAGAGTTGGATCCTAAGCCATGGTGAAGGGGTCCTGTCACACCAGGTAATGTCCGGGCAGCATGGTTCTCAGTGACACAGTGGTTGGGGCTTAGCCTCTCCACTCAGTGTGCAGGGAGTTGTGGCAGTTGGGACCTGTCCTGAATGAGGCTGCTAGAATGTCTTGTGCCCCCAAACCCAGTTTGATAGCACTGGAAGAAGAGGCAACAGAATTTCTTCTAGATCATCTCCATTCTTGTCCTCTGATTTGAATTCCTATATCTTTGTTTTGGATCTCCAAAAGTCAGTTCCAGTATGCGGATTTGTGTAAGCAGTTTGTGTGCAAGTGATTCTGTCAAATGATGGTAGGAAGTGAAGGAGGGAAGGGAAGGAAGCCAATGTAGGGTGTTGTCATCAACCAGTTATTACTGTGGGCAGTTGGAGCTCAACCCAGCTGGGTAGGTCTGGGATTCGGTATAGAAAGCCCTTTGGAGATTTCCCAAGTGAGGAGGATTAAAGGAGGTGGAACAATCCATGATCTCACTGTCCACTGCCAACTGAGGGCTGCTTTAGGAACTCAGCGCCATCTTGAAGAATAGGTCCCACCCTCTCCTGCTTCAGCTGAGCCTTTGTTGTTATTCCATGTTCTGTTAGACTAGTGGTTGGTGGATAACAGTCTATGCAGTAGGGTCAGTATATGCAATGGTCACCTGTCCACTGTCCCACCTTTGTGATACAAAGTGGGTCTGTTGGTGTGGAGGGACATCTACAAGAGAGCTCCATGGTAAGAATTTTACTCTCTTCTCTCTTTGTTCTTTTCATGCTCTCACCTCTCTGATAATAAACCTCAGGGTTTTGTACTAGTTTTAAAGGAGTAAGAACTTCAGAGTGAGAAACAAAATACATCAGATGGTACTTGACCACATTATTTATCCCTGTGCATGTGGTTTCAAATAAAAATTATTTGACATTTTGGTATAAAAAGCCCCTCCCTTTTCCCTTTGCTCAGACCCAAGGTACAGTCAGTGTCCTGGAGCCCCTATAGGGGGCAGTGCAGGGCTCTGCAGGGTTTAGGTGCAGGTGCAGGTGCAGGTGCCACACTGTGTGCTTGCTGCACACAGGAATGTGGTGGAGTCCGGGAGCTTAGAATCCCTCACGTGCAGGGAAAAGTGCAGGCCCTCCGTGTTAACTCTGGCTGTGAGTTTTCTGCTCACCTTCTCCTTCTCATATGATTGCATTCGCATCAGGTTGCTGAGGCCTTCCCCAGGATCCTGTCTAAACCACTGGAAGGAGTTGAAATTGCGGTCTGTGTAACTACAGTTGAGTGTGAAGCTCTCTCCTTCCTGGAGTTTCAGGAAAGCTGGGCTCTGTTCTACCTGTGGTTGTTGGTTTGACCCTGTTCAGGAGAGTGAAGAGGTTTTCATGTATGAGGAACTGTTTTTTGTTCCCCTTGGTTGTTTTATATTGCTTAGAATAAAGCCCAGATTGTCCTTGGAATTCTGGTATATTTCATTAGCAGAGGGGTCTCATTTGTCTTGCTTGGCCCTTCACACCCCCTCTTACTCCCCCTCACTCACAGGGTAGCTGCAGACACAGGAGCATCAGTGAAGCTCCCAGGGGAATCTCCATCCTTGCTTCTTCCTGGAGCCTCTGAGGATTCAGTAGGAGGCTTGGAACTGGCCAAGTTTGGTGATCCTAGATCTCTGTTCCAGATTCTTCTGTTTCTTTTTCTGTGGACACCCCTGGTGATCTTCATTCTCTTGTCACAACCAATCAAAACTCACTTGTCACAACAAAGACATCATTGAAAATCCTCTTTCTGGAGCTCCTGTTCAGAATTCTAGCTTCCAACCAGTCACTTCTGTCAATGGAAGCACTGCCCCCATGTGGTCTGAACTTTTTATTACAATTTTTTTCTTTCCCTTTCCCTCTTAATACAAGGTAACCCATTATGATCAGTTGAAGGAATTAGAACATACAGAGAGGGGAAAGAAGAAAACAAGGAGATAGAAAACAAAACAGAGTCTCAGAATGGTCTCTGGGGATGACTGTCGAATATTCTTAGTGCCTGGTCCTGCCTCCTCACTCTCCTCACCTTCAGGGACCTCTGTGTGGGTCCTTTGCCTGTATGACTCTGTGCTGAACTCTGAGGGGCATAAATAAAAGGTTGGGAGAAGAACTGGGTGCTTCTCTCAGCTGGTTAGGGTCTACCATGCTTTGTTAAATTTCTCAATCGAAAGTCTTTTAAATTACTGAAAAGGGTTAGACCTCTCCTAAATTGTAAAAATATAAAGAAGAGAATTATAATGACTTTTTAAAAAGATATTCTCAGCATTGAAAGATCAGCCTCGTGTTGGCTAACTTTGACATATCTAATGCTTTTGCAAACATCTAAGTGTTTCTTATGATTAGATCTTGGCACCTGTGCAAAATCTGGTAATTTGTCATATTTTACATATCAGATATCTGAAACCCTGTTTTATGGTCTCCTATATTGTCATCAAGGATTAGGGACTCAAGAGGGTAAGAGATTAAGGAAGAAAGTTCTATTATTTGCATCCAGTTCTCACACTGATTACTTTGGGTACCTAATTACTCACATTTTTCCAGCTACAATTCCTGGATAACTTGGCCCCAACAAGTCTATTGCCATACTTCCCTCCCTCCATTTCTTACTGTGGGCCTGAGCTAAGGGGCTGAGAGTCTGTGATGAGTAAAGAGCGTTCATCTTCTTTCATGTTAATCGTATATGTCTGTCTTCCATTCTTATTCATATGTGAAATTATGTCAAAATAGGGAGGCTGATCCTTCTAGCTTTTCCCCTGAAACCCAGTGTAAGTGAAGCTCAGACTGGAGTTAGCACCCTCTCAGAGGTGCAGGCCTGAGATGAACTGTGCTCTACCTTCTCCTGTCCTCTCACTGCTGCTTGAGAAAAAACAGCAGGCACCTGGGGTGGTTGTGGAAGAAGCTGGCTGTTTGTCAATATCCACACTTTCCTGGGGCACATGATTGGTCTTTTCCCCAATGAGAAGAGCGTCAAATCACATCAAGTCTGGCACTGCAGAGAGGCTATCAGACCTTCTAGGTGTCTTCAGATTTCCTCACTACTGATGAGGACATTTAAGAATGTTTTCAAAGAAAAGAATTTTAGTCTGAGAAATGAAGAAGAAGTTGTTCCAGTTGTTTGGAAAGAGTGACATTTACAAGAGAGTTTACTTATCTTTTTGTTTTTTGAACAATATCTTGATGATGTAAAATGTATTGTTTTTTAAATTTATGGCTTTTGCTCTTTTATGTCAGAAGAAATCTTTGCCTAGTTTGAGTTACAAATATTTTCTCCTATGTTTCTTCTTAAAGTGATGGTGTTCAATTCTATGATGCATGGTGGTAAATAGATTTTTCCTGTGTAAAATCAGTTGTTTAAGTATTGTCCAAGCTTTTACTGAGAAGACAAGCTTTTGCACTGAATTAATTTAGCACCAAGATAGAAAATTCATTAACCATGTATGTGGAGGTCCATTACTGGACACTCTATTTTATTCTTTTTCCTGTATGCCTATCTTTTTAATACAACCACACTGTTTTGATACTATGGCTTTATTGTAAATCTTGAAAAAAGTAGTTTAATTCCTCCAAAAAAAAGTAGCTTAGAAACTCACATAAGAGTTACAAAGATAAATCTAGGATCAATTCCACTGACATAAAAAAATCATGTAACAGAATACAAAATGTTCATGTTAGAAATACTAAAAAAGTTAATAATTAATTCCTTAAAATAAAGTGCATATGCAGGTCTCCAATTCAGTGCCTACTTATGGAAAAATACTAGAAGCTTTCCTATGGAAGTTAGGAGAAAGACCATGGTGTCCAATATCTTTACCACTATTTAACACTGCGTTAGGGCTACTAGATGATGCCATGTGCCCAGAGAAACTAGTGAGAAACATAACAATTTGAAAGAAAGATTTAAGCCCTGGTTGGTGTGGCTCGGTGAATTTAGTGCTGGCCTGGAAACCAAAGGGTTCATCAGGCTGTTGATTCCTAGTCAGGGCACATGCCTGGGTTGCAGGCCAGGTCCCCAGTAGGGGGTGTGCTAGAGGCAACCACACACTGATGTTTCTCTGACTTTCTTTCTTCTTCTCTTCTCCTCTCTCTAAAAATAAATAAATAAAATCTTTTAAGAAAGAGTTAAAATATCTTCATGCTTGTGGATGAAATGATTATCAGAAAAACCTAAAAAAGGGAAGAAAAACAAAAAATGGTTAAAAGTAATGTGGAAGGAAAGAGCACTTTTATTTTAAAATTTTTATTTTTATTGATTTTTAGAGAGAGAGATGAAGAGAAAGAATCATTGACTTGTTGCTTCGCTTAAATATGGGGGTTGAACCCACAACTTTGCCTTATCAGGGTGACACTCTAAACAACTGAGCTACTCAGCCAGCGTTGAAAGTGGCACATTTTCTATCCACAATGTGTGTGTGTGTGTGTGTGTGGTGGGGGGAGGGGTGGTGGGAAAGGGAGAGAGAGAGAAAAAAATTTTAATTGCCAATTAAAACTAAGTAGACAGGTCAAATTGATGGAATAGTAAATAAAAAATTAGGCCCAGTTGGGTATGGAAATTTAGGGTATGATAAAGACAGCATCACATTTCATTGGGGGGATTTCTCAGTATGTTGTAGTAACAGGTATCTTTTCTATATATAGGTGACAAATGTGATTATGATAGCATCCCATTTCAGACACATGGTCTTCATATAGAGGTGCCTGTGCTCGTGTGTTCTTTCTAGTTTTTCCTGTACTCTTCAAGACTTTCCATCATTTATGCAAGCAAAGATAATTCTAAAGCAATCCAATGAGACCCATGTGCTTGTGATCCAGATGTTATGCTGCTTTTCCTTTCTTATTTCTCTTCCCACTTTATCCTTGCCCTCAGAGGCTGGGACAGGCAGGTGGGAGAGAATGAGGGACTCTCCATTCACTCTCTCCCAGGCTGAGTAGCCTTGTCTCCTTGGTTGTTGAGACAGCTCTTCCTCTACGTGAACAGCTCTGTAGTGTGGAGGAAAGGTTCTTGCTCCTTCTTCTTTGTTTTTATCTCTGTTTAGACAGGGTGCAGGTATCTCATGATAGTGTTAGTGGTTTCTTCAGGGGCTACATGCTCTGTAGAGCAGAAAATGCAGGGGCTACCTGCATTTTCCTGGAAGGAGTGGCCAGCCCCAGGAATAAGCCCTTCCTCACCAAACCCACACTTGGACACTTCATAGCCTGTTGCTGTGAGGGACTTCTACCTTGTGGTGTCTCTTAGAGACAGGTGTAGGTTAAGGCAAGTTGGTTAAGAAACTAGACAGATTCATGACTCACAGGAAATTCGTGGAAAACTGCTTCAATGAAAGGGAAGGAAAGTAGGAAGGGAACCTTTTTTAGCTCTGCTGTCTTTCTCCTGTTTATATATTTGCCATAGGCACCTCATTTTCTACCAGAAATCAACCAGTGAAGTGGATGGAGGCTGGACTGAGTGCTTCCAGTCATATAGGCAGGAGCTGGGTGCACTAACTTATATACTGTCCTTGTGCAGGAGGTTGGCATATTCCCCCAAAGGTCACTTCTTTATGCTCCCAGTATCCCCTCTAATATCTTTTGTTACCATCAGTTGAACTGGTTTGGCCCCTCACACCAAACAGAATGGCCAAGAATTTCTCTTTGAGTTGGTGCTGGAGAATTTAGTGACTGTTCTTACCAACATCCAGTTCTCCTGTGATTCTTACACTTTCTGTAAAGCTTGGAAACAGGGAAAATTCAATAAGGACACATACCATTTGGCTACACAAGTATGACAAAGGCATTGCAATAGTGGGAAAAAGGTTCCATGTACAAAGATAATTTCCAGAATGTTGAAAGATTTTATTATAAAAATCAAAATGATAAATGATAAAATGAAATCAAAATCAAAAGAGCTAAAAATCCAGAAATATTTTATTTTTTAGGTGGTGGGAAATATTCTTTGGCAAAGTTGGTTCAAAACCTTGGGGCTTTCTGGGTGAAGTCTGAAACTGGCCCCCTACCTGGAGAGGAAGGAGGGGCTGAAGAGAGAGGCAGACCTCTCCTGATTGGTGGCAGGTCTAATAGGTGAGGGCACTTACCTTGAGGCTTGTCTTGGGTGGCGTCAAGACAAGTCAGTCACCACCCACTATCTTCTAGAATCTTAAAAGTTTATATAAAAGCCTTAACTGGGTTCAGTTACAGATTCACTTCAGATGTTCTCAACAACACGGTGCTCCCTTCAAAACTAGTGAGGATGAAGGCAAAGGGAAAGTCACACGTATTACTAGAGTGTGAAATGCTATATGTTTATTTGAAACTAATTCAAAAATGCCTATTAAAAATAAATGTAGAAATATCTTTTGATCCAATAATCAAACTTTCAGAAATCTATCCTAAATATATAAACTGTGCTAAATAAGGTATAGTTCTTATCACAGCTATATTTTTAACCTGACAAAACTGAATTGTGTATCAACAATGAAATGTTTGAGAAGATTATCATTCATCTATACTATGGACAACGAGACATTAGTTGAAATAAATGAGTTAGAATAATATACTTAGATCCATAAAGATGTCTTTGATTATTTAATGTGAAAAATAAAACAAGATTTATATATGTATACACACACACACACACACACACACTGCTACATATATCAATAAAAACAAAGCA